AAAGTGATAAAGAAATTGTCAGGGTACAGTACCCTGACCTGGCATCCCCAACACAGTCCCCTGACCCCCCTTTCCCCATTCTCCTATTTTTCCTTATTTTTCCACTTGCTGTTTGCAGTCCCCTTCACCTTTTCCTTGCCACATGCAAACCCATGGGAAAGCTCATGTGTGTTAGAACCGAGCGGGAACAGACGACTCCGGAGTGGAATCGGAGACTTAGCGTGGAGGGACCTTGGCCTCAGCGACTCAAGCGGAGCGCTGTGCCATTGCTGTTTGTCCATTTGGTCCTTAATTTCACAGTAGGTGAGCAGGAAGTCTCTAGGGGGCATTTCAGGTCGATTTCAGACTGAAACCAAGACGAGTATGTACAAGCGCCGATATATATAATGGAAGGGGTAAAAGCACAAAGAGAACAAAGGGTGACCGAATCGGAACGAAGACGTCCGAACGGGAACAAAGGGTAGAGGGAGCGGAGCGGTACCGAAGGTCATAGGGCAAGACCTGTGATATGTCCGAAAGGAGGTAGGGAGGGCGAGGCCCAGAGGGGCAGGAGGATGAGGGGAAGTGGGGATGATGACTAACTGGCTAGAATAGAAAGAAGCAGTAGTCCAAATAGGGATGAAGGGAAAACGCGAGAAATACATTACAGGCGGTGAGAGTGCCGAAGGCGGTCCACGAAGCTCGGGGGTTGCGGAGCTTACGGAGGTTACGGAGGCAGGGTTGGAAGTCCGAGGAATATTGGCAATGGTGTTTACGTAGTATGAGGTCACCAATGCAATGGACTAAGGCCGAGGTGGAGTCAAAGTCCGAGGTAGGGACTATGACAGAGGCTCGGAGTAGGGTACGAGCGGTGTCCGAGTGCGAAGTACGGAACAGCGGTGGAAGGTCGTAACTTGGCAGAAGGGTGGCGGAGGAGTAATGGAGGGAGGAGAGAGGGGACAGGTAAGGGGAGAAGGAGTGGTGGAAAGGAGAGTAGTCAGGTCCGAAGGTGAGTATCGGAGCGGACGGGGGAAGCGTAGGAGGATAACGGGAGGGTGGAGGTGTTGTGAAGGGGGAGTGGAGTAGTAGGAGGGTGGTGAGAGGTAAGGAGGAGGTGTGTTGCCAGGACCGAAGGTGAGTATCGGAACGGCAGCGGTAGGTTATGACTCCGGAGGTGAAGAGGGTGGAGGTCCGGAAGTTGGGTCGGGATCGGGTATGCACGGATATGACAATGTGGGTCGAGGCAAGTAACTCGCCTTAACCCATGTGACACCTTTCTGAGTCATGGGAACACACTCAGTTTCTACCCATGGTCACACTACAAACTGTGTAGTTCTGTTAGAATGGGGCAAGGGTGGACGATTCCAGAGTGGAACTGGAGACTTAGCAAGGAGGGACCTTGGCCTCAGCGACTCAAGGGGAGCACTGTGCCATTGCTGTTTGTCCATTTGGTCCTTAATTTCAGACATAGTGAGGAGGAAGTCTCTAGGGGGCATTTCTAGTCGATTTTAGACCCAAGTATGTACAAGCACCTACATATAATGGGGAGACAAAAGCACAAGGAAACAAGGGTGGTCTGAAACAGAACAAAGGGAGTTACAGAAATGGAGTGGTACTGAGGGTCATGGGTTAGACTCTATGGTACATCTGAAAGGAGGTAAGGAGGGCAAAGCCCAGAGGGGCAGGAGGATGAGGTGAAGTGGGGTTGATGACTAACTGTCAGGGATCGGCCCCTGACCCCGCTGTCAGGGCACCCAACCACACCCCAGAACCACCTTCCCAGACCTCCCCATTCCTACATACCTCTCACAACTTCAGCCCGCATGTGAGCCCGCGGGAAAAATCACGTGGGTTAAGGTGAGCAACTCGCCTTAACCCATGTGACACCTTTTCCGAGTCGCGGGAACATGCTCGGCTTCTACCCGGAGTCACGTTATGAACTGTACAGTACACTTCCTTTTTATAGTAGCCAAGCGGGGAATAGGGAAACTTACCCTTCTTCTCAACTCAATCCCCGCTTAGGCAAGTTGTAGTTACCCTCTGTAATACATGACAACTCAATCCCCGCTTAGTCCCTTCAGTGAGTTTGAGGAGCTAAGGACCGGGTCTAGCGCCCAACCACCCGGAACACCGCACACACCTAGGCCTGAGGTCGGGCTGTCCCTGATCGAGGACCGAGCCCTGACACTAACTGGCTGAATGTAAAGAAGCAGTAGTCCAAATAGGGATGAGGGAGAAGTTGTCAGGGATGGCTCTGAAGAGGCGGGGGTAACGGTGTAACACTTGGCACTAACAGCCCGGATGGCAGCAGGGTGGTGAGACTGCATAATGAGCCCTCACTTGGGCTGGTGTCCCTGTGTGGCTTCTTAGGCTGAAGTGGGAATGTATTGTTATTAAGATGAAAGGCTAAACTAGGTTGAAACACTTGCCTGAAGCAGGAATGAGAAGAAGGCTGCTTCTTCAGTCCTGCTTCGGCTAAGTTTATATACATGTGAAAACAGGTCACATGGAGGTGCCACATCAACCTCGGATGGAGCTGGGTTGTCACAGGCAACTCCATGGTCGATCCCAGGTGTGAGAGAGGAGAAACACAAGTAGGGATGCACAGTGCATCCAGCATTGCAGTACCCATACAGGGTGCTCAGTGTTGGATGCATCCGTGCTACAGATGTGGAGAAGAGAGAAGTCATCCATATAAGGATAGAAAGGAAGAAGAGAAAGGAGAGAAAGAAGGAAAGGAGGAAGGAGAAAGAGGGAGAGAGAGAGAGCGGAGAGGGGTGTGGTGCAGTGTGGTGTGGTGTGCCCTGACAGAAGTGTGAAATGTATACTACAAGCAGTGAAGGTGCTGAGGGCAGTCTGTGAAGCTTGGAGGGAGTGGAGCTTATGGAGGTTGCAGAGGCAGAGTTGGAAGTCCAAGGAATATTGGCAATGGTGTTTATGCGGAATGAGGTCACCTGTTACAAAAATGGGGCCGGAGGCACCCATTTTCGTCCATTCTTGGCACAGGAAAGTGGAAAGTGGAGGTGAGGTGGTTCATTAGGTTTTACAGGTGGTTTCACAGATGTTTAGACATGATAGTGTGGCAGGGGTTTTTATGGTTGGATCAACTCTATTACTATACAAATCTAAAGTTGCACCACTCAGTGCAGCGGCTCAGTTGGGATGGCAGTTGACTCTAAAGATATAATTGTTGGTGTAAATACATGTAAATACACATTGACACAGAACAGAGACAAGTATGGAAAGTGCACAACACCTGTTATGACTTGCTCCTCCAACAAAATCATGTGATACAGAACCCATAAGAGTCTAAAATGGGAAATTCCCATTTCCATAACATCACCAATGCAATGGACTTAAGCCGAGGTGGGGTCAAAGTCCAAGGTTGGGACCATGATGGAATCTTGGAGCAAAGGCACAAGTGGTGTCCGAGTATGGGGTATGGGACAGTGGCAGAAGGTCGTAACTTGGTGGAGGTTGGCAGAAGAGGGATGGAAGGAGAGGAGTGAGGAGAGGAGTGAGAAGAGGTGATGTCAGGTCCAAAGGTAGATATTGGAGTGGACAGGGATAGGGTAGGACTCTGGAGGTGGTGAAGTGGAGGGTCCAGAAGTTGAATCGGGATTGGGTATGTATGGATATGACAAGTTCCACCCATGTAACCATTCTTTTATATAGGGCCAGTGCAGGGAGTTGAGAAGGTTACCCTTCTTCTCAACTTAGTGCCTGCAGTGTTAGGGATTGTGCCAAATAGGGCACTATCATCAGGGTGCCTCTGAGTCCGAAGCCAGGCCCTGACAGAAATGAGATATCACTACATGTGGAACATAGTCAACAGTGAGACATGTAACATATGGTTAAAAGGTTCCTGACACCACTACCACTACCACTACATACCCTCTCACTTTTGATGCCATCTGTCAGGGCACACCCTGCCCTACTCCACTCCCCCCCACTATCACTCCTCGTTCCTCCTCTCCCTTTTCTTCTTTCTCTCTATTTCTATTCCACAGTCGACTTCCCTTTTCTCTATGTATCATTACACACCTAATGCCGCTCCCTCGATCACCACACCTGCCATGCGCATTCCCACCTACAGAGTGGCACACCTCCGGGATCTCCCATGGAGACACCCAGAGAGGTCTGGCTGTGTGCGGAGATGACGTGGCTCCCCCCACATGACCATAACTGCATGTATATAATAGCACCTGGGGTGGGAACAGAAGAAGCAGCCTTCTTCTCAACTTCCCACTTCAGACTAAGTGGTCAGGGATGCTCACCCCATGATGGGACCGCCACTATGCACAACCAACACCTGTCCCATTGGGTCCCTCATGCCAGGACTTCACCGCTTTCAGAGCTGTCCCTGACACCATCTCATTAAGTTTTGCTGTGCTCTAGCTCAATATATCATGGGTAATTATTAGATAAAAATATTGTTCATGTACCTGGTCACAATCATGTAAGACAGTGGGAGTTTTCTAACATGGTGAATTTGGACAAAATCAATGGGATTTTTATGGATTCTTTTCTCCCAGTGAGCAATGATGAGTGCAGAGCCAAGCAACCTGACATGTGCCAGAGAGCTGCATCCATCAGCACTGCAGTCATCATATTTCATCAACAGGGAACACAGATCAGCCATATGGTGCTTCTAAAAATTCCAAATATCTATTCATTAATATTTGAAATGGTTCACACCCCATCAATTTACAATTTGGACCCCTTTCACAAAATTCAGTCAACCAGACAATCAGCAACCCATCAAGTGAAACAATTGCAGTTGGGTTGCAGATTAATGTTTAGTCCCTGAAAAAACACACAGTCAGCTGTGATCACAATAATGTTGCAATTTTACAGGAATATTATTATGTGATGTTGGAATCACTATATAGCCTCCTGAGAGTGTGCTCTTCCTTCCTCCTTGCTGTATACACCCAAGACTGAGGTCAGCACTTCCTCCCAAAACACTGACCAAGCCACACATACTTACCCAAGCCATGCATGCTGCCTGCCTGCAACAGCAGACACAATGCGATTCTGGAATCTCTTCACCCCAATCGCTTTTCTCCCCATTGCCACAGCTGATTTCACTGTTGGCACAGTTTCTCTTACAACTTCACAAGGGGCTGCAGTCAATTCATCCACCAGTGAGCCAAAATGGAAAATAAAAGTTTTACTCTTGATGAGGATTGATTTTTCAACAGATGATTGCACAACTGCTGCAAATATAGTTAATGGCTACTTTCAATTTGGGGAACAGATGCGGTTCAACCTTTGCGACAGTGTTGTTCAGATTATTCATACAACATGGATACTTCTCCCTGAGGAATTAGGAGCAAATGGAACATGCAGTAAGATCCAGGGTCCTGTCCAACCATGCACCATTTATGGTGCCGTGTACAAGTGGAATGCTAGGTTGTCATGCCCATCACTGGTGTGTCAAGTGGGAACTTTGGACTAATTATGGATCGATAGATATCCCATGGATAATTGTCATTCTGCAGAATGCATGTACTTTATACAATACTTGTCTGCAAAATTGGATCTGCATTACCGTGGTCAGTAATGTATGTCGTGCTATCCACCCAGCAATGGCCAGAGTAAATGGAGGCTGTGTTGGAGGACATACTTGTCTCTATTCCATGTCGATGTGTATTTACATGTATGTATTTACACCGACAATTATATCTTCAGAGTCTACTGCCATCCCAACCGAGCCGCCGCACTGAGTGGTGCAACTTTAGGTTATGAGCCCAGAGCGGCTCACCTGGGTTGGTTCAAGTATAAGTCCACATGACTCTCGTGGCACCCTGGCCCGGTACAAGCGGCTTATGACCTTGAAAAGGCACGCATCTTTGGAAAACCCGAGGCTGAGATACAATCTTGGAAAGCCCTATTTGAGGCTGATTGCAAGCCCCTTGGATGAAGCTCTCACACTGGGAATGTGGCACAGACTACCACTCCTTCTCTACTTTCCGTTGTGCCACGTCATAAATTCCCACGGTCTTTGCGCTGCGTAACCCTCTGAAGCATAGAATGCTCTCAGGAGGGACTTGGAGATCTCTTGGGCTGATCTACTGGATCTTTTCTTTGGGTCCTACATGAATGAGAGGAGGACTATTTGGATTCGACTTGAACATGCGCGCGCGTGTGCGACACTTTGTTCCACATCCAACTCCTGTTTCCATCCCCACTTCAACTCCAATCCACTTCGGCTCAGATCACTTCGACAATTATGCAGAAACACCGGACCAATCTATGGCCGATAGGGGGAGCTAACACCTCCTTTTGAGGATGAAGATCTATTACACCGGTGATATTCTCAAGCGGGAGATCATGCAAACTACCATTCATATCCCATTGTCCCATTTCATTTCCACTTTCACGAAACCACTCAATGATCTCTTGGGCTGATCCTTTGGATCTTTATTCTATATTCCACATGAATGAGGGAGGACTGATTTGGACACGCGCGCGCGATTCTTGCGGCTTTTATGCATGCAATATACTCTCTTAACATCGCCTCAAGCAATTTTACTGTCGACTCCACACCCCTTGGGCTGGGGGCATGATGCAAATTCGACAGGGCCAGATTCAGCTTGGCTCCGGACCATGCTTTATAGAAATGCGCAACATTTCCACTTCCACCTCCCGTTTCTGTCCCCGCTGTCACTAACAATTGGCTCCGGCCTAAGTCCACCTCAATAAATCATCAGGCCTTTTGATGGCCAGTATGGGGGAGGGGGGAACCAAGATTCCCTTTGGAGGATAAGGACCGGTTAGAGCGGCGACATATTCAAGCGAAAACTCATGAGAAACTACCATTCATCTCCCATTTGCCCATTTTATGATTATTTTGGCATGTGCAATCCAATTACTTTTCCAATAATCACACTGTGACCCACGCTTCGCCCCAATCGGAACCACCATCAAACATGCCCCTTCCTCCAACACCTGAGGGGGAGCTGCCTAACTAAGGGCATTGATAATAAGGAGTGGGTCGTATAATGCGACCAAGAAGGACGCTGAGGGGGAGGTCATTGATTCAAGGGCACAACAAATGGAGGAATCATAAGACCCTCATTTCTTTATTGGCATAGTCTTTATGACAGCCAACACCTTCATTGCTCATCATATTGAATGTGGTAATGATTTCTAAATTCATTTTCGTCCTATGGAGCTGAGGTTCTCTGGCCACTTGATGTGCTGGTCCAGTGCTGGGCCCGGGTCTGTGCTCATTGTCTTTGTGCTGAATATGTTAATCAGCGGGAGAGAGACTAGAGCGCGATGTCTAGAGCGCGATGTCAAATGTGGTTGAGCATCGCACTCAGGTAATCCTCGCCCTTTTATGTCTATCTAACTATATAACAAAGCAGATAACAATGGTGAAACTAGCGCCTCTGATGCTTTGTGCGACTAAGGGTTTGCCACTCAGCAACACAGCTCTGCCTCCCCTTTGTCCTCATGTGGCCTTGGGCTGCCACGACAACAGAATATTGGTGGGACCCACCTCCATCTTCTGACCCTTGAGACCCGGGATGAGGTCTGTGTAGCTCACATCCTTCTTGGGGTTGCAAATCATGTTGGACTCGGATTGGTGGTCAGTGGTTGGCACCGAGGGTTGCTGTTGTGGGCCGCTATAAGCTGTGATGCCATGAACAAGGCCCAAGGGTAGGGCATTTGGCCTCAGCGACTCTAAAGGAGCACTGTGCCCCTAGCTGTCTCCTAGCCCTCATTTCACACTCCCTGGGGTTGCCTTGTTGGGGTCAGAACTTAGGGAGTTGTGATCAAGTCGATATTAGAAATAAAGTATCATACAGGATATATATAGAGAGAAAATGAATGGAAGCGGACCCGGGCCGAAGGCCGAAGGGTCCGGAAGCAAATATGAATAGGGAATGGAGTTGGCCACATAGCGGCCAGCAATGACCATGGGTCAAAACAAACAATAAAGATGAACAAGAAAGGGTGTAGGGCCATGGTAGTGGCAATGGTATTGTAGCGGCACCGGACTTGGAGTTGGGCACAGGAATGATAGTGGCCTGGTGAGGGCCAGGCAGGTGGGGTAGAAGGAGTTGTGCTGGGCACGGTGCCGGAGGCAGACTCAGGGTGGGAAGGCTGGTGTGGCTGGAGGGGAGTCAGCCAAGTGCAGGGGAGCCTAGGGGCAAGCAGGGGGGCAAGCAGGGGGTCCTCAAGGAGAATAGGGATGAGGGTCAGGGCTCATGCTCATGCTCACACAGTGGGACGGGCTTGGGCGGCATTGGGATGGGTGGCTAACAGGCCGGAATGCATGGCCGTGACACTGTGGCTACATTGATACAAGGCCTAGGTGCAGGGAGTTCTATTGGCACTTGCTGATGTTGGTACCCTTGGCTTGCACTGGTGGTCTAATTCCCAGCCCAACATGGTGCGAGTCAACTCTCACATAGGGTGGATCTTGACAGACCAGGCCCTTTCCACTGATTCCCAATCCATAAAGGTCATGGGTGCTGTGCTTGCTGGTCTGTGTCAGAGAGTGTGATTCAAGGGGACATTGGGACTCAATGTTCAGAAGGCTTCGGCCTCAGCAACTCTACCCAGGGGTGGAGCTGACATCACAGGGTCAAGGGTTAGTCAACTGAATATTACCAGTGACTCAGGTTACAGGGTTAACAGACAACAACCCAAAAGGAGAATGGGGAGGGAGGTCCAAAGGTGGACTTGCAGGGCAGGCGACTAAATGGCCCTACAGAGGTGGGAGTGCTCTTGCAGACATCAGAGCTGTCCGGAGGCCTTCAGGATTCTGTACTTAGGGAGGTGTAAGTAATATATGGAAATGGGGGGGGGGGGGTGACCATTGGGGACTTGGAGGAGAAGATGGAATTTGGGGGCTCTGAGGTTGGTGTGAGCGGAGCAGAGATAGTCAGGGATGGCTGGAGGTGATGGAAGGTGGTGGCAGAGGATGGATATGACAGTTTGATACCACCCAACCTGTCATATCCATACAATCCCGACCTCTGCTCCGGGCTCCCGGAACTCCGAACCTGACTTCCGGAGCCCTACTTCCCTTCTGTCACCTTCTCCTTGCCGACTCCCAAGAGGTTATCCCACCTCTGGCTCCAACACCACCTACAGTCCGACTCCGGAACATTCCGGGTCCGACCCCAACCTCGACACCTTCCAGATGAGTATGCAACACCTATGCTCCCGACTCCAGACCTCTGCTCCGGAATCCTGTTTGCATCTCCATCTCCGGAACCTCCGGTCTTAGCTCCGACCTCGGACTTTGACCCCACCTCCGCTTATACCCATTGTATTGGTTAGCTCATTCCATTTAATTACGTTTGCCAATATTCCGGAGTTTAACCTCCGAGTTCGGACTTTCCGGACTTACTCCGGACCTTGCAACTATTGCATTGTCCATTTCAATTCCGCTATTCTCCCTCATTCCTATTTGGGCTGCTGCTTCCTTTCTATTCAGTCAGCTAGCCATTCCCGACTCCCATCCTCCTTCCTTCCTCCTTGGGCCTTGGCCCTTCATTCCTCCTTTGGGGAACACCATTGAGTCAAACACTTGACCCTCGGTGTTGTTCCTCTTTCCATCTCCCTTTGTCTCCTTTCGTCTTACCCTTGTTCCTTTTGATTCCAGACCCCTCCTTATATACAATGTACCTAGTAACTTGTAACCCCAGTCCGAAATCGACCTGAATTCCCCCCAAGAGACTTTCCCTCTGCTAGATCCGAAATTAGGGACCCCCAGGACAACCAGCAATGGCACAGCGCTCTGCCTGAGTCGCTGAGGCCGAGGTCCTTCCACGCTAAGTCTCCGATTCCATTCCGGAGTCGTCCGAATCCGCAAGTTCTGACACAACCATGACTCATTGAATTCTCGGACAGCTCTCTTTATGGAATCAAAATGTTTCTCAAAGGCATTAAGCTGTTGGTTGTTAGATACGGTGGAAGGACCTTGGCCTCAGCGACTTAGGCGGAGCACTGTGCCATTGCTGGTTGTCCTGGGGGTCCCTAATTTTGGATCTAGCAAGGGGAAGTCTCTGTCAGGGCACACCCACCCCACCTGGCTCCACCCAGTTTCACTCCACCCACTACCCCCTTCTCCCCTCTTCCTACTTCCTCTTCCCCCTCTTTCCATTCTCCCTCTGTATCATTCTTTATTCTTTCTATTTCTATTTACATGGACGATGTAGGCAGGATAACCTACTATACCCTACACCGCCAGTATTTTTGTGGTTTTACGTTCCTTAAGGATTTCCCATATGCGATGATCACCTACCAATGCCAATGGTGCATAAGAATATTTTATTTCATTTAATACGGGGTACAATTGCGCATAATGCGCTGGTACTGAATTGGTTCAGCCCAAAAACTACGCTTGGCACTACTGGCCGCCAGAAGACGATCAAGGGCTCGGAAAATAGAAAAAAATCATAACTATGGATTCCCCGAATTTCGTCCAGATCGACCCAGCCGTTGTGGAACAATGGTGGTGATGA